TCGAAAGATATGGACAGTGGACTAGACTCCCAGTGAAACGAGCATACCCATCACACACGAGAATCACACAACCAAACTCACCGGGGACCCTCAAATCGAGCGATTTGGACAGTGGACTAGGCCCCCGGTGAAACAAACACCAAATCCAAACCAAATAAGCACCATCAATCCACCACACACACAAAACCACACAGGCCCCATACAATGCCAACATGCAAATGGTAGGCCGAATAATTGAAATCCGAGACAAAAATATAGCACGCAAAGAGCGCCATCGGCCCACCAAATCGTTCCCAAATCATGCCACAACCACAAGTTCTTCACCTAACTCTAGGTATCGATTCTCCAGAAATAAAGAAAAGGCAAGGAAACACACCTAGAGACGCAAGTAGATACCACGGAGAGGTGAAGAAAGTGGAAGAAAACACCCCAAGTCGCCGGAAAACCACTGGAGACTCGCCGGAGAACTCGCCGCCGGCGACCCATCCTCGGCCAACAAGCCCAAACCTTTGGGGATTGTGCTCCTCGACGCCAGGAGCGTGGGGGCGGTCGCGATTTGTGATTTGGAGGTCGAGAGAGGGAGTTATGGCCGGAAAATCGAAGGAGAAGAGGGAACTCCCGAGTTTCCGGTGAGAGAGGGGGTTGAAATTTCAAAAAAAATGGTTCCGGGGGGGAGAGAGGCTGAAAAATGATTTTTATAGGGGGGAGGGCAAAACACGGGCGGGTTGGAACACGACCGTGTTCGGCCTGCTCCGCGCCCGTGTTTTTACTGCCGCGGCCTTGTTCCCCCCCCCTTTTAAAACACGGGCGGGCTGCGACCAAAACACGGCCGAGGCACGAAATACTTCCCAGACAGACTCCAGACAGACTCAAAGACTCAAAAAACCGACAAAAATGAAAAAGTAAAAAGGGTAGAAATGCAAACCGTGGTGGGGTTGCCTCCCCACAAGCGCTTCTTTACCGTCTTTTAGCTGGACGCCCATCGCGGAACTAAGGGTCCGCGAGTTCCACTACCAACTCCGCACGTTCGACCTCATCTCCCAGGTAGAGCTTGAGACGATGGCCATTCACTTTAAATGGCTCAGTTTGCGGGTTGGAAATTTCAATCGTGCCATACGGGAACACCTGTGTGACCGTGAACGGTCCAGACCACCGGGAATGGAGTTTTCCGGGAAAGAGCTTCAGGCGAGAGTTATAAAGGAGAACTCGATCACCAACCTGGAACTCTTTCGGACCCCGCAACCGTGCATCGTGCAGGCGCTTAGTGCGCTCCTTGTACAGCTTTGTGTTCTCATAGACGTGACAACGCCACTCTTCCAGCTCCAGCATCTGCATTTTGCGCTCAATACCTGCAACACTAACATCCAAGTTGAGTAGCTTAAGGGCCCAAAAGGCCTTGTGCTCTAGCTCCACGGGCAAATGGCATGCCTTTCCATAGACAAGTCGGTACGGTGAAGTACCAATGGGTGTCTTGTAGGCAGTGCGATACGCCCAGAGAGCATCATTGTAACATCCCAAACCTCGGTTAATTTGTAAATCAATTCGGTTTGATGAGGAATCAAGAATTTCAACCATACTCGAAGAAATTTCGTTCTCAAATAATGGTTTGAGAAAATAAAGAATATTCTGGAATGATGAACAAGAGAATTCGAACAAAACTTGACTCCATAAGTTAGAAAATTCTTTCACGATCACGTAGAATTTTACGGAAGTAAATTTGGATGCCAAGTAGCCAAACGAGTGAGATATGACATTTTGAAGCCTAGACTTCGTTATTGAAATAACGTACGTGTCGACACTAATTTGGGCACATCTTCTTCGTTTGGAATCGAAACGACGAGCCGTTTGCGCTCACACGATCGTATCAACAAGGAGAGGTTTTATGAAGGAACAAATCCAGAATAGAGTATACCAATCAAGCCTCGTTTTTTTTATTGTCCATCGGTGTACAAATGAATGGAAAGAAAAGTTGCCATTATTATTATGGGAGGTGGGAGCTATCACCCCATTACTTTTGCAGGGGAGATGTAGGAGAATTATTAGGGAGACAAGAGTAGAGATAAGTGGGCTCTCTCCACCTAATTTCTGCACTAAGTAAAGGCACGGTTGTAGAGCTTAAATGAAAGGAGGAAGAGTCTCCTTTTGTGCAATCACTACACCACTACCATTACAGACCATCATATGCGAACCAAAGAGAGTGTGAGAAAGAAAGAAAGAAAAGAGGAAGAAACCACTCTTCTGTGGCCTGGGTTAGGGTAATATGGAGGTCCGGAAGCCAAATACGAAGTCAGAATCGCCATTGGAGGTTCGTAGAAGCTCATGGGAGGCTCGTCGAAAAGTTGCGTCGGCGGCACCGGCGTCGTCGACTTCAACAAAACTCCAAAAGGCTGGTACCATGACAAAGAGGACGATCCCAGGAGCATCCCAGTTTCGACGAAATTAAATTTGGAGGTCTGTAGATACCTCGTCGGAGCTTCGCCGGAACGTCGCCGGAGTGTCGCCGGATTCTGGAAAAATAAACTTCAACAAAACTTCAAAAGATGAATATGGTTGCGAAGAGGGCGATCTCAGGAGCGTCACGGTGTCGACGAAATCGAATTCGGACGTCGGATGAGGGAGAACCGAGTCTCCCAAGTTTGAGGAAGAATATGTCAACCATCCAGGTACCATGTTTGGTAAATCGAAAGGTTAAAGGACCTCTCTGTAATTTTCCTACAGAGACGGGTCAACCTCTTTTTAGTTGACTGGTAAATATCGTATTTAGTCCCTGGTACTTTGAGTACTAACGGAATTCGTATTTCGTTCATAATTCGTTCGTTTGACGTCCAAACGACGAACCGTTTTCACCTACAGGATCGTGAGAACGAGGAGAATATTTTGAAACCAAGATCTGGAATTTCCAGAGCTTTCACAGAATCGGATTTCGTCATAAATAAGGTGTGTGGGCTTACGGTAAAAGGGAACCGGAATTACGTGTTTATTTCTAAATACGCATGATTGAGTTGATGATTAATGATTATGATGGATTTGTGATTGGTTCATGGTTGTGATCTTGGATGAAATTATTGATGAAGTTAACTGATTGTTATGATAATAATTATTAATCTCGTATTGGAATTGTTGATGTATTTGGTGAACTCCGAATATTTTCCGAAAAGGTCTATTGAGATCAGAATAAGGAAAGGAAATTTGAGGAATCTTGAGACGACATTAGTCATGATATATTATCATGACAATGATTATAGTGATAATAATTGACTTTGCGGAATTAATTGAAGTTATGACGATAAAAGGGTGAAATTGGGTATTTATAAATTGGATTAGTATATGAAAAGGAATTCTGGTCAGAATAATTACATCAAAGGATTTGTGATCTTTGTTGGATTTTTTGGATGAATGAAACCGGTTTCTACGTGGTTTCGTTACTAAAGGGAACGTATTATGATTTTCAGAATAGTGGTGATTAAGAGAAAATTATTTAAACTAGAGTGTGAGTTCAAAGTGATTACCATGAGTAATTTTATCTTGGATTTAATTTGATTTACGTTTTATGATTAATTTTGAGAAATGGTTAATTGAGTATTTAATTGAAATATTGAAAATAGTCTTATTAATGAATCATGACGAACTATGATTTAGTTTGTACTTTAAGAAATAATTATTGAGAGATGTGTTATTAGGGGAGACCTTTTCAAATGAACTTTGATAATCATGAGAATTATATATATGAGTATGGTCCTTAGAATGGTTTCAAGTGATTAATAGAAATTCATGAAGATGAGATTTTGATCATAATATATTTAGTTGCTATTTTGTTATAATTAATTAATGGAAGATATGGATAAACCGATGTATTTTAGATTATATGGTTCGTATGATAAAATGATTTATGATGAATGAAATTATATTGTTCATGATATATGATTATGATATGATGATGATGATAATGACGATACGGATATTGATTGCTAGTGATGCGATTGACGTGTATGATTATGACGTGATTAGAATATCGATTGGTATAAATGTGATTGGTAATTATAAATATTACTGAGATATTTTGTGACAACGTTGATATGATGAATGCTTTGATTAATGATGATGCGGATGAAATATTATCATGATCGATTTGTATTTGATGTGTTAAATGGTTACGATGAGTGAATGAAGTATTGATAAATTGAGTACTTGGTAGATTTGTCACGTTTGATTGAAGAGAATGAATTACTTATATCATTGAGAAGATGATGATTATATTGAGATCATGCAATGCATCAAAGTATGCATAGATGATGTGAGATATGCATGGACTGGGAATATCAATGGGACGCTATTGATTTCTTGGATCGATTGAGATATGATGGAAGAGAGAAATTGATATTGTTTGATCATGTTAAATCACATAGACATAGAAGGGCCTATGCCTACCCCTATGAGATTGATTGGGCTGCGGTCCTGATGAAAGGATTTATGATAATCCTAGATTGGATGAGATTGTGGTTTTTGATATAACCACTGAGATGATGAGCTCGAGCGGGGTGGGCGTATGGTGACCTTAGCGCGCAAATTAATAATAAATGGAGAGTCTGCATTTCATGCATTGCATATGATATATATACGATGGAGATGATTTCCATGAAGGAAATCGTGAAGTGATATTTGATTGATGATTGATTGAATGATTGATATGGTTAATGCCAAATTGGTGATTTGATTTTGGATGAATGATTGATATGGTCAATTCCAAATTGGTGATTTGATTTTGGATGAATGATTGATATGGTCAATTCCAAATTGGTGACTTGATTATGGATGAATGATTGACATGCTTGATGCTTAAATGATGAGTTGACTTTGAATGAAGGATTGATATGATGGATTCATGAGTTGAGGTAAGTTTACGATTTTATGTCGATATACGACTTGATTAATGAAAGCCATACCATGAGGAATTGGGTTAAAGATGAATTTGGATTGATGACCTAGAAAGAAATCTAGAGATTAATGAGATTTTTGTGTGGCATGATAATTTGTTGATGATGTGTTTTTAATCAACAAGATGTGATGATGTGTTGGCATGCTAACAATAGTTTTGCCGTATAGGCCAGGTCCACACACTCAGCTTAGTAGCTGACCCATTTTTCTTTCTAGATGTGACAGGTGTGATAAATTGAGGATGACTCTGGCACTGCACAATGATCGATGGAGGATTTTGATTTAAAAGGTTTTTCACCTATTGGTGTATTCTAGAATCCTTATTTCACGATTCGGGTTTTGAGCATGCATGATAGTTTACAATGGTCAAGCATGATCATTAACTTGAGTTGAGTATGAATGGAGTACATAAGATTGATAGTCTGGGTTTGGTGAATCTTGAACTTGACGAAGAGGGATTAATGAATTGAGAATATGATTTTTGGTAAATTGTTATGATGAGTTGAATTTTAAACATGTGAGAATGATGTGGATGTGAGTTGAGTCGAGATTTTGAATACGTAAACCCCGAGTGATTTCCGCTGCGCGGTTGAACCATCGGTTCGACCCATGATTTTAGGGTGGGGTGTTACAAGTGGTATCAGAGCCCGGTTTGTTTTCTGCATTATAGGTATGTTACTTTCACTCTTGAGAACTGATCACTCTCAAAAGAGGGGGAGTACTCCATACCCGTATTTGCACTAAACTTTCCAGGAGTTGAGACCAACCTGATGTTGTGATGCATAGTCAGAGTCCGTTGCATTCAGTAAAAATGATTTCGAGCATTTTTAGAGAAACATTTGAAATGAAATCGATTTGAGAAGTCTTTTGAAGAAAGTCTTTTGACGAGTCATTCGAGACGAAAATTGAAAAGTGATTTCCTCCTCCAAGGAACCATCGATCTGTGCAAAAGGTGCCACATCCCAATTTGAGGGATGGAGTTTCCTGATTCAGGGGAAACAAGAGTTGAAAGAGTTAGTAGGAATTCTGCAAACCTTTAAGGATTGCGGATTTCATTTTGGGGTTTAGAATCCCAAGTTTCATGATATTAGTTGAGGTCAGAGAGACCCAATCTAATGATAACTTGTTGATACATTAGACTAAATACGTGACGAGTGATAACATGGATTGAGAAAAAATAAATTTCTCGAGGATTGATGGAACAAGATCGCTCAGTAGACTATTAAGTACGAGAACGAGTCAAGATGAGGAGACGTTAACTAGCATGCGGTGGAAATGACGATGGACGATCGGCAACGAGATACATCATCAAAATAAGGATGTGAAAGGAGATAGATGACCAAAAGTTCAAGTCAACACCTTAAAAGTCAGAGGTACCAATAGAGAGTAGATGTGATGGGGCGAATAAAGGACAAGTTGGGAGCTAGAGTAAAGGCAATCAGCCCGAAGCTAACTCATGACATAATCAACTTATGATCGGTGTAAGTATGCTAAAGCACAAAAGAGACGTGCGATGGCAAGCACGTAGCCAAAATTTAGAGGCGATATAGATTAAACTCTAAAGTGACAAATTTGTGCTATATGTTATCGGATGATAACTGACACTAAGGGATTAGCATCATGAGCAAAAACGACGAAACTCTAGATATATCCCCAAACCATGAATCAAATTCTTGATGAATAGATTGAGAGGATGGGAGGACGTGAAAAAAAAATTCATCTCAAAGAATGAGAGTTTTCTTGAACACAATAAGGAGATACTGAGGGACTGAGAATTGATGTCTCATCTGGAGGAGACAAGGTTCTACTGCGAACAATCATGTAAGCGACTATGAAAGGAGACAAGCAAGATGACAAATTGTTTATTGACACGATTTTATGACGAATGGTTGAGGAGGAGATCATGGATGACATGAGAAAAGGCAATGCGTACTTTTGTTTTCGAAGCTAAAGAACCTCAATGCCTAAGGTTGTGGATAAAGGCTAGAAAAAAAAATTGGAACACGTCCAGAGGGACCATCAAAGCATAAGTGGGGGAGTGTGCTGAACTAATAAAAGTGTACCCCTCAAGATACATGATTAACCTAATGCTTATGGCAATAGGTTGACGTTATTCAATGGTTCCACTTCTCAAGTCACCACAAGTAAGTGAGAAGAGACATGTTTGTACGAAGGATGTACACCACAAGTGACCAACACTTAGATTTCGGGGACGAAATCCAATTAAGAGGGGGAGAGTTGTAACATCCCAAACCTCGGTTAATTTGTAAATCAATTCGGTTTGATGAGGAATCAAGAATTTCAACCATACTCGAAGAAATTTCGTTCTCAAATAATGGTTTGAGAAAATAAAGAATATTCTGGAATGATGAACAAGAGAATTCGAACAAAACTTGACTCCATAAGTTAGAAAATTCTTTCACGATCACGTAGAATTTTACGGAAGTAAATTTGGATGCCGGAAGTAATTTGGATGCCAACGAGTGAGATATGACATTTGAAGCCTAGACTTCGTTATTGAAATAACGTACGTGTCGACACTAATTTGGGCACATCTTCTTCGTTTGGAATCGAAACGACGAGCCGTTTGCGCTCACACGATCGTATCAACAAGGAGAGGTTTTATGAAGGAACAAATCCAGAATAGAGTATACCAATCAAGCCTCGTTTTTTTTTGTCCATCGGTGTACAAATGAATGGAAAGAAAAGTTGCCATTATTATTATGGGAGGTGGGAGCTATCACCCCATTACTTTTGGGGGAGATGTAGGGAGAATTATTAGGGAGACAAGAGTAGAGATAAGTGGGCTCTCTCCACCTAATTTCTGCACTAAGTAAAGGCACGGTTGTAGAGCTTAAATGAAAGGAGGAAGAGTCTCCTTTTGTGCAATCACTACACCACTACCATTACAGACCATCATATGCGAACCAAAGAGAGTGTGAGAAAGAAAGAAAGAAAAGAGGAAGAAACCACTCTTCTGTGGCCTGGATTAGGGTAATATGGAGGTCCGGAAGCCAAATACGAAGTCAGAATCGCCATTGGAGGTTCGTAGAAGCTCATGGGAGGCTAGTCGAAAAGTTGCGTCGGCGGCACCGGCGTCGTCGACTTCAACAAAACTCCAAAGGCTGGTACCATGACAAAGAGGACGATCCCAGGAGCATCCCAGTTTCGACGAAATTAAATTGGAGGTCTGTAGATACCTCGTCGGAGCTTCGCCGGAACGTCGCCGGAGTGTCGCCGGATTCTGGAAAAATAAACTTCAACAAAACTTCAAAAGATGAATATGGTTGCGAAGAGGGCGATCTCAGGAGCGTCACGGTGTCGACGAAATCGAATTCGGACGTCGGATGAGGGAGAACCGAGTCTCCCAAGTTTGAGGAAGAATATGTCAACCATCCAGGTACCATGTCTGGTAAATCGAAAAGTTAAAGGACCTCTCTGTAATTTTCCTACAGAGACGGGTCAACCTCTTTTTAGTTGACTGGTAAATATCGTATTTAGTCCCTGGTACTTTGAGTACTAACGGAATTCGTATTTCGTTCATAATTCGTTCGTTTGACGTCCAAACGACGAACCGTTTTCACCTACAGGATCGTGAGAACGAGGAGAATATTTTGAAACCAAGATCTGGAATTTCCAGAGCTTTCACAGAATCGGATTTCGTCATAAATAAGGTGTGTGGGCTTACGGTAAAAGGGAACCGGAATTACGTGTTTATTTCTAAATACGCATGATTGAGTTGATGATTAATGATTATGATGGATTTGTGATTGGTTCATGGTTGTGATATTGGATGAAATTATTGATGAAGCTAACTGATTGTTATGATAATAATTATTATTAATCTCGTATTGGAATTGTTGATGTATTTGGTGAACTCCGAATATTTTCCGAAAAGGTCTATTGAGATCAGAATAAGGAAAGGAAATTTGAGGAATCTTGAGACGACATTAGTCATGATATATTATCATGACAATGATTATAGTGATAATAATTGACTTTGCGGAATTAATTGAAGTTATGACGATAAAAGGGTGAAATTGGGTATTTATAAATTGGATTAGTATATGAAAAGGAATTCTGGTCAGAATAATTACATCAAAGGATTTGTGATCTTTGTTGGATTTTTTTGGATGAATGAAACCGGTTTCTACGTGGTTTCGTTACTAAAGGGAACGTATTATGATTTTCAGAATAGTGGTGATTAAGAGAAAATTATTTAAACTAGAGTGTGAGTTCAAAGTGATTACCATGAGTAATTTTATCTTGGATTTAATTTGATTTACGTTTTATGATTAATTTTGAGAAATGGTTAATTGAGTATTTAATTGAAATATTGAAAATAGTCTTATTAATGAATCATGACGAACTATGATTTAGTTTGTACTTTAAGAAATAATTATTGAGAGATGTGTTATTAGGGGAGACCTTTTCAAATGAACTTTGATAATCATGAGAATTATATATATGAGTATGGTCCTTAGAATGGTTTAAAGTGATTAATAGAAATTCATGAAGATGAGATTTTGATCATAATATATTTAGTTGCTATTTTGTTATAATTAATTAATGGAAGATATGGATAAACCGATGTATTTTAGATTATATGGTTCGTATGATAAAATGATTTATGATGAATGAAATTATATTGTTCATGATATATGATTATGATATGATGATGATGAATGACGATACGGATATTGATTGCTAGTGATGCAATTGACGTGTATGATTATGACGTGATTAGAATATCGATTGGTATAAATGTGATTGGTAATTATAAATATTACTGGGATATTTTGTGACAACGTTGATATGATGAATGCTTTGATTAATGATGATGCGGATGAAATATTATCATGATCGATTTGTATTTGATGTGTTAAATGGTTACGATGAGTGAATGAAGTATTGATAAATTGAGTACTTGGTAGATTTGTCACGTTTGATTGAAGAGAATGAATTACTTATATCATTGAGAAGATGATGATTATATTGAGATCATGCAATGCATCAAAGTATGCATAGATGATGTGAGATATGCATGGACTGGGAATATCAATGGGACGCTATTGATTTCTTGGATCGATTGAGATATGATGGAAGAGAGAAATTGATATTGTTTGATCATGTTAAATCACATAGACATAGAAGGGCCTATGCCTACCCCTATGAGATTGATTGGGCTGCGGTCCTGATGAAAGGATTTATGATAATCCTAGATTGGATGAGATTGTGGTTTTTGATATAACCACTGAGATGATGAGCTCGAGCGGGTGGGCGTATGGTGACCTTAGCGCGCAAATTAATAATAAATGGAGAGTCTGCATTTCATGCATTGCATATGATATATATACGATGGAGATGATTTCCATGAAGGAAATCGTGAAGTGATATTTGATTGATGATTGATTGAATGATTGATATGGTTAATGCCAAATTGGTGATTTGATTTTGGATGAATGATTGATATGGTCAATTCCAAATTGGTGATTTGATTTTGGATGAATGATTGATATGGTCAATTCCAAATTGGTGACTTGATTATGGATGAATGATTGACATGCTTGATGCTTAAATGATGAGTTGACTTTGAATGAAGGATTGATATGATGGATTCATGAGTTGAGGTAAGTTTACGATTTTATGTCGATATACGACTTGATTAATGAAAGCCATACCATGAGGAATTGGGTTAAAGATGAATTTGGATTGATGACCTAGAAAGAAATCTAGAGATTAATGAGATTTTTGTGTGGCATGATAATTTGTTGATGATGTGTTTTTAATCAACAAGATGTGATGATGTGTTGGCATGCTAACAATAGTTTTGCCGTATAGGCCAGGTCCACACACTCAGCTTAGTAGCTGACCCATTTTTCTTTCTAGATGTGACAGGTGTGATAAATTGAGGATGACTCTGGCACTGCACAATGATCGATGGAGGAGTTTTGATTTAAAAGGTTTTTCACTTATTGGTGTATTCTAGAATCCTTATTTCACGATTCGGGTTTTGAGCATGCATGATAGTTTACAATGGTCAAGCATGATCATTAACTTGAGTTGAGTATGAATGGAGTACATAAGATTGATAGTCTGGGTTTGGTGAATCTTGAACTTGACGAAGAGGGATTAATGAATTGAGAATATGATTTTTGGTAAATTGTTATGATGAGTTGAATTTTAAACATGTGAGAATGATGTGGATGTGAGTTGAGTCGAGATTTTGAATACGTAAACCCCGAGTGATTTCCGCTGCGCGGTTGAACCATCGGTTCGACCCATGATTTTAGGGTGGGGTGTTACAATCATCGAGCTTGGTGAAACAAGCCTTGCGGGACTGATCCACCGTCTTCTCCAAGATCCGCTTGAGCCCCCGATTCGTGACTCATCTCCTACTGTCACTCTAGAAAATGGCCAAGTGTAACCACTTCCTAAAGCGTAGTATAGCGGGTTTGGGTTTTATTGTCAACCCGGGTCCTAGATGTGATGACTACTCAGTGAATTCGTATTATCTAGCAATGAAACTTTAGTGAAGTTCTAAACTAACAAGCAAACAAAACAACTAAACGGTTGTATTCAGGTCAAGAGAGGTCACCCGGATATGGTTCCCCCTAGTCTGCAGTTAAGCCGGATTGTAATTACCAAGTTCAATTTCTATGATAGTTATACTGCGGAAGGTTCTCAAACAGTCTGAAGTCTCGACTAAAGGTCTTCAGACCCTCTCAATCTGAGTCTCTAGCGGGGACTAACCTCCACCGGAGTAAACAGATTGAGGCCCTATGAACAAAACCTCCACTACCGAATTGAATTCGGTACAGAATAGTGAATTGGCTCCTCGACTAAAGTCACCAATTCACTACCTTCGATTAAGGATACTCTATCAACCTAGGCAGATATTATCATTCTAGGTTAAAGCAGAAACAACAGGAATTTGATCAGGATTCATGCCATTCAATCATTCAAACCTCAATCGAATATAATCAATATCATAGAATCATACTTGGGTTCATACAATCAAACCTAACATACAGAACTAGGGTTTCCCATACCCAGATGAATGGGAGAACTACTCCATGGAGAAAGAAGCAAAAGCAGAATCAGACGCGGAAATCATACTGTGAAGATGGATTTCTGCTCCTGGACGTTGAATCGGCACTTCTCCAAGCTCAAGCCAAGCTCCAATGGTGTTGAAGATCAAGCTAGGGCACTTGGAGGCTCTTGTTCGTCGCTTTCTCTCTCTCTAGGAACCGCTCTGTCTCTCAAAAACTCGAATCCCCCTCTGTTTGGCTCGGAATCCGCTTAAAAACCAGAATTTCCCCGACTCGCACGGCCAGGGTGCACGGCCGTGCATATCACCATTCTGGCCGTGCGGCTCAAACGCGGCGTACCATTAAGTCGAACTTCAGCCATCTCGCACGGCCAGGATTGCACTTTGCACGGCCGTGCGGATTTCACTTGTGCCCGTGCGTGCTCTCGCACGATCCCGCACGGCCAAACTGGTCACTTGCACGGCCGTGCGGGTTTTCTGCTCTGCCCGTGCGTGCTCTCGCACAATCCCGCACGGCCAAACTGGTCACTTGCACGGCCGTGCGGGTTGTGGGTGTGCCCATGCGGCTTCCTCAGAACCTCGCCATGCGTTCCGATCCTCGTCCAATCGACCTCAAACTCGCTCCCAAGCCTCCATTCACGTACTAGGACCTGAAATATCATAAACAAGCACAACCTAGCGTGAAATCGGCCTAAAACACAAGAATCAATACCTCAAACGGAGTAAGAGCAGGGGTAAAAACATGTGTAACTAACGGTCTATCAACTCCCCCACACTTAACCGTTTGCTTGTCCCCAAGCAACCTATCTCAAACCAATGCAACTCTCCAGACCTCTGTAGCAACAAACAACCTCGATCGTAGGTAGAGGACTTCCTAGATCATTTAGCAACTTACGAGGTCAACCGACGCACAAGTCATCTCATAACTTCTTCGGCGAGAGCACTAGTCTCGAGTCAGCATCATGGCAAATAGTGAAGAGGACAAATGAATCGTGGATGAAGAGACTCTCAAAACAAAAGATCATGGACTCACATTTTTCAAGGTGCTCGATTTTCTTCTTGGAGATGGTTGGAACCCCTTTTCTTTCTTCTTTTTGCTTTTTTTTTCTGTTTTTTCTCTTTTTTTTCAAGGGTTCCAACCTGTTTTTTGCAGAAAACGGGGGCTCCCACCTAGCAAAGGTTTTGCGGGAGCCCGGCTCTTACCGGCCATGCCAGGAGCAGTTGTCTCGAGCCTCGTGCGGGGGAAAGACATGTAAGGGGGCTGGAGGTAGTAGGTGGAAATTGGGAACGGATTCCCGTCTCCCCTTACACACTTTCGCCCTATTCGCACGGGAGACGTCATTTTAAAGCACATTTTCGAGCACCTGTTATTTCAAAACATGATACAAGAGTCCATGACAGGCAGAGAGTCCACAACACCACACAATTCAAGGGTCCTAAGATCACTAATTCACTCAATCAACCAACACACTATGAAGAAGAAATGAGACTTCTTAAATGCATCAACATCCTCCATAGTGCTACACTACCTCCCTAGGTTGCAAATCACTACAGAGACTGTCAATTCAAAGCATACTGAGCAGGCAATTGCAAGGAACACGTACTTGGAGCCCTCAAATTCAAAAATTTGGACAGTGGACTAGGCTCCAAGCACACAAACAGATCTAATGCAGTCAAAAGATAAACATCCCCCCCACACTTAAGATCGACATTGCCCTCAATGGAGAAGAGGGAAGGAAAGGGGAACGATGTTACCGGTATGCACGGACTGCAGGAGACTGGAAATGGACCAGTCAGGATGAAGCGGACTGGAGAGAGGACCAGTCGGGAACACAGGCACGACTAAAGGAAACCAAAGAGCTCAAACACGATATATTAGGTCCAATGGTCAGCCCAATAGTACATCATCCAAAACAAAAGCAAACAAACCAAATTGCAATCCGACCGAAACAAAACAAATAAATGAAAACCGTGGTGGGGTTGCCTCCCCACAAGCGCTTCTTTACCGTCTTTTAGCTGGACGCCCATGGTGGATACTCAGGGAGGTGCAGGAACAGGTGCCTCCAAGAGCGGATCCACATCGCTCTTGAGGTACAGCTTCAGGTGGTGACCGTGCACCCGACGGTTGCAACCACCAGCATCGGTCAGCTCGACCTGGCCATCCGGCAAGATGCAGGCGAGTGAGTACTCGGATGGCCAGGGTGGTCGTGGTGCAGGGGGTGGGACCAGCTCATAGTGGTCTCCACTCTTCTTCCGTGCCGGCTTAGCCACCTGCGGCTTCGGTCGCCACTCCTCCTTGAGCTTTTTGTTCGGAGGCGAGACTGGATGGAGTGGCGGCGAAGGAATGATAGGCGGGTCCTGCAAAATGAGAGGTGCAGAAGGGTACACGACAGGCTCGTGTACCTGATCAGAAATAGCATGCACAGGCGATACAGAAATCATAGCA